AACGCCGCTGGTGGTGCTCACACTGACACCTATATGGCACCAAAGGCTGAGCATAAGGGCACGGGCACACCCCACTGATGTCCTCACAGGTTATTTGTGGCTCATTCCCAGGCCTGCTGTCATCCACAGGATTAGGAGATAATCCTGTGGATTTGGCACATACAGATTCCATGAGCTTGCTGGACTTCACAAAGCCGCGAGAGCAGATGGGGAGGGGAGAACACTGGCACATCTGTAGGGCACAGCTGGCGCCAATGATTCCTGGAATCTTGTGGACCAAATACAGTAATAGGAGGCCAACACCCCCATGCAGTGACTGCCTGGTGTAGCCAAAGGCTGGGGCAGAGCACTCCTAAAACACCCTGTTTTGTGGTCTGGGACAAACAGCAAATCCACCCCGGCTCCTGTGCTGCTCAGGGGGTCGGGGTCAGGCACCGCACGCGTGAGCCACACGTGAACGGCAGAGCATGGCCGGGGTTCATATGAAGGGCAATGCAAGGATTTCCCTTCAGAGAGGAAGTGAAGCAAGGGCAGAAGGAGGAAGAGCAGCCGCAGTGCTGTGTGCCGTTGGTGCCACGCAGAAAATGGCCAGTGAAGACCAAGGCTCTGAGGGGGATTGTCTCCTCGGTGGCTCCAGGCCTCCCCTATGCCATTAATGTCCCCCAGTTTGCTTTGCTGAGGAGCAAGATGGGATTTGAAAGGAACCAGGAACCATTCTTAGCTGGGGAACACAGAGGGAACCACTTCCCCTGCAGCAGCAGGGCACAGCGAGGGCAGGCAGCCGTGGAGCATCAGCCGACTCACGTCTAGAAAGGCCACTGCTCAGCTAAATGGTCAGATGGGAGCAACAACGACCCAAGTGAAACGTGTCCCCATGAGGACAGCAAAAAGGAGCTGGACTGGTGCCTTTATCGTGACAAAGACAAGAGGGGCAGCAGCTCACATGAGAGGCTGGCAGCACCAGAAGCAGAACACCATTAGCAGATCGTGACCCGAGCACAGATGCTCTGACTGCAGGAGGACAGCAAGGGCTCAGTGCAGAAAGGGAGAGGCCACGGTCATGGACGCCCTGTTCCAGTTCATGGCAAAGCTGCCTGGGAACATCAGTCCTGCTAGGGATAAAACTGAAGATGGGAGAGAGCTAAATCCTAAATCCGGGGAGGAAGAACAAGCTTCAAATCAGCTCAAATCGCAGGGACCTGGGGCTAGTTTTCCCTCTGAGGTCTCTGCTGGGGTGTTTGCCAGGTGGGCAGCAGCAGTAACACATTATGTCCTGCAGGACATCACCAGTCAGACAAGGGCACACACAGCATGATGTTGCACAGCATTTCATTCTTCTTTTACTCTCTAAGTACAGATACTTTCCTCCCTCCCTAACTCCAGACGCATTTGTTCCAGGCATCTTTCCGTACCTACAATTATTCGGCATGCCAAAGGATTTTGGTTAATGCAAATAAAAGGGGAAGACTTTATCCCACCTACAAATCTTCTTTGGCTCACAACTATGGGACTGTGGGTGAGATCCAGCCCTGGAGAAAGCCAGAGAGCGAAAGCCTCACGCCGCTCTTGTGCCAAACACTCTGCAGGATGGATTTACTGCTCCCAAAAGGTGCCTGACTGCCGGGATTTGCCGCTGTGCTTGGAGAAAGCGCAACGGAGGAGCGAGGTTTTGGGGGGTCGGTTTGGCAGAGGGGAGCAGGGACGGTGCCATATACCCGGGGCAGCGCGAGGACGGGCACACGCAGGCAGCAGCACTGCCTGGTCAGAAGCACGGGGGTCCAGGGGTACGTGGAAAGCAAGGCAGGGTTAGAGCGTGTCTGGGGTAGGGACCCAGGGCAGGGCTCAGAGCTGCAGCTGCACCAAGCGGGCAGCGCGGGCTCCTCGGCACACAGTGAATTGTCAAAAGCAAACAAACAAAATCAGAGCTCCAAGGGACAGAAAGAATTCATGGCTCCAGGTCAAATCCAGGGAATATTTTTAGCCAGAAGAGGGAGGGTTCAAAGCCACCGTTTTTAAATGTTCTGAGATTCTTTTTTTGTTGTTGTTGCTCCGCAATTGTCTGGACCAGAATTTGTGACTCCTTCCCAGCGAGGATGCCACCGCTTCAGAACGCAGCACGATGACATCGGGAGGGTTAAGCAGCTCAAACAACAGCCAGCTGGGTTGCTCAGGATCACTTTGTTTCACCGAAACCTCCAAGTATCTCCTGCAGTTTGACTGCAATAATTTCCCTCTTTCCCATGAGATTTCTTGGGTCAGCCACAGAACTGAAAAATCCATTATTAGCCTGGCTGTAACGCAAACTTCTCCTGTGCACCCCCCAGCCTCTCAGTGTGCTTAAATAGCCCTGAAATTGTATTAAGTAATGTGGCACAGTCAGTTCCTGGTGTCCCTGCAGAGGTTTCCACAGGGAGCTGGTGGAGCACTGTGTGCAGCACGGACACTTGTCTGCTCTGGAATTACTCAATAGGACTGGGGCAGAATCAATTTCTGAGGCATTTGATACTTCACAGCCTGCTACCAGCCCCTGCGCTGGTCTGCAGAGTGAGGGTTTCAATGAGAAACACTTCCCCTAAGGTTTCCTTTCCTACGAACTGATGGACACCGTTCCCTTCCCACAGCACAAACTCCTTCCAGAAACACCACGTGCATCTACCTAGGGCGGGCAGACGGGCAAGTTCCTTCCTGCCTGCTGCTGGCAACACCGTGGAGCATCCCCAGGAGTAACGATGCTGATGAGGCAGCTCTAGCCCTAGTGCCATAGAGAAGTGTTTTGCCAGTGGAGTTCTATAACCTCCTCTATCCTCTCTTGATTCGCTGTACAAATAAGAGCAGCCTTTCAGTAAACCTCTTGTTGCCAAAGCAATGCCGTGTCCATTGCCCTGCACTCCTAGCAGGGAGAAACCTCCCTCCTTACAAAGGAGTTTTACTTCTTTGACACCTTGGAAAGCAATAAAATGAGCCTCAATGCCAAGACCAGGTTGAATCCAAACTTCATTATTTAGGCCAGACTAGGGTGGGAATCCTTGGTCTCCATTTACAGCTGAAGGGAGTAAAAAGCACTCACAGGAATAAAGATGTTTGTGCAAATGGAATAAAAGCTTTGGCCTGAGAGGGGGTGAAAAAGCAGCCCTGAAGCTAGGCAAAACTGCCCTGGGATGTCATCCCACACAGGTGTATGAGCTGAGCTCCTGGAGAGCTGAGCAAAGCTGCCAGAGACCAGGACTGAGAGGGGAAATAATAAGAGAGTGGAAGAAATACTCAGCAAAACCACTTCCCTTCCCCAGCCGTGTGAGTGGTCCCGTCAGAGCATTTCGGAGCTGCTGCTCTCACCTCGAACCCTGCACAGGATCCAATTTCCTTAGTTAAGCACTGCAAGAAAGCCCTTGCGGTTCAAAGGCTGAGGGTTACAGCCGAGCTCAAACAGCCTGCTTGTGGTTAGACTGAAACCCAAAAACTCCAGCCTGCTCCCGTGGCTGCTGCTGTGCCGCTCACCCCCATCCCGAGAAAGCCCCAAGGAGGGGATGGAAGAGGCAGCCCAGGGTTATCCGGAGCAGCGTGCTCCAGTACAGGCAGGGGGCTGTGAAGGCAAGCAGCAGTGTCAGAGGAGCTGGCAGGGGTGTGAGCAGCTCTGACCCCGCTCCCTCTGTGTCAATGGGTGCTGCCGATCTGCTCTCGCTTACCCGACATCCCGTGGAAGTTCCATGCGCGCTGCTCCAGTGACACACGCAGCACACGCACGTTTCCACTCCCAGACTTCACCATCTGCCCGGTGGCTGATTCATGTTTGCCCTACAGATGGGGGTTCTCCAGCACGAGGTGCCAGAACAGGGTGAAAGGGGTTTTTAAGTCATTTTAGGTCATCACTCATGCAAGGGAGATACCAGAGATGAGCAGAATGGAGGAAAGCTGCAGCTCACACAGTTCAGCTGAGGTCCCTGCAGCAGTCCCGGACTCCCGCTCCATCGATGATGTGTCTTACTCTCAGGGAGGGACAACAGAGACATGAAGGAGACTGAGACTAATGGACTCGGGTCATTTGTGATGCAAAGCCGGGGGTTTGGTGCATTTAAGCTTAAGGCAGCTGCTGCAGCAACTCACTGGGAAAGTGCCTGTAAATTATGCTTGGTAGTTTGCCCCATTATGTTGCAACATCCCATAAATTACAAGGAAACCAGCTTATGTCTTTGATGCTGCACTTGGATGGAAGTCTAAACAGTAAAACAGTCCAATGTGTGAAACCTTTCTCTTTCCCTCTTTTCCTTTCACAGTGTATGCACAGAGCTGACACCTTCTGACATTTACTGCTCTATGGACTCGTGATAAGCACTCAGAAGGAAAAGACAGGTATGCAAGCATGGAAATATGGTTTCAGCATTTATACATGCAACAAATTGTGCTTTCAGTCCAATTCTAGCCCCCTGCGGACTGGAAGACAGCCCAGTTAGACTCTAGTCCTGGCTGAAAATGTGAAGTGCATACAAAGTCACATTAAAATCTATTTAAGACGACTTCCAGCTTTTCTGAATGTATTGTGACCTGAGCTGAGGAAGAGACAAGAACTTTTACAGAACAGACTACATCACCGCTTCTCTAACAGGCTGGAAAATAGGAGGAACAGTGGGTGCTCCTATATTTAGTTACCTGGGAGATGCCCGGACACCACAGTAATGGGGGCTGTATAAATACCTGCATAGATTAGCTACAGCTATTCCAAGCACACCCCTGAATCACCCCACCAATTCACAACCTTCCCAGGGCAGACATCCTTCAGAAACTGAGCTATCAGGTGCATTTTGAAGTGAGAGGTGGGATACTGGAACCCCAATCCCAGTCCTGCAGCAAGTTAATTGCAAAATCCCTGTTCTTTTCATCATCACCATGACCCTCAAACCTGAGGGCAATGCTAGAGACCAGCAGTCCCTGCACGCTAAAACAAGGAAGATCACGGTCTGGGCTCTCAGGGAACGTGGCTACCTGCATCCACCCCAGCCTCTTACCTCAGCGGGATCTTAATAGCCAGGTACCTGTCGATGGCCACCGCCAGCAAGCTGAAAATGGAGCTTTGGGTCAGCACCAGCACGAAGCAGGCGAAGAAGAGGCAGCTGTGAAAATCCACCTGGAATCCAATGCTGATGGTGATGGCGAAAGGGATGGCTAACAAACCCACGGCAATGTCAGCCACCGCCAGAGACACCAGGAAATAGTTGGTGGCATTCTTCAAGGTGCTGTTGATGGCCACGGCCCAGCAGACCAGGACATTGCCAGCGATGGAGAGCACAGCGATGATCAGCTCCAGCACGATGTAAGTGGTTTTCATAGTGTCCATGGCGAGAGCCCAGGGCGAGGAACTAGAACCGTTCATGAGAAAAAGGTACTTTCCGCCGGCCGCCCGGCCGCAGGTACCAACAGGCCACGGGGCAGCGCTGCCCGGAGACAAACACCCATGTCCGGGCTCACCACCGCCTCCCGCCCGGCCCTGGGGGGCCCGAGGGGCGCAGCGAGCCCCGGCCCGCGGCCCCCCGCTGCCCGCACCGCCCGGCCCCCGGCCGGCATCCGCGCTCCCGGGGGCTCCGGTCACCGCCCGCCCGCCGCCGGGCCCGGCCGCTGCGCCCGCCGCGGGGCCATCCGCCGGCACCTCGGGACGGGACCGGACGGGACGGGACCGGACGACGCCGCTGCTCCGCCCGGGGATGCTCCGCTGCCGCCCGCCCGCCCGCTCCCCGCAGAAAGCCGCTGCCGGCCGCGGCGGGGCTATTTCTGCACATGGGGCGAGCGGGGCGGGGAGAGCGCGGCGCTGAGCCGATTGGCCGGGAACCGGCGGGCCCCGGGACGGCACCTCCGCACCGCCCGGCCCCGGGACTGCCCCGGCCCCTGCACGGCCCCCGGTGATCCAGCCCCGGGGCGCTGGGCTCAGCCAAACGAGGACCAAAAGTTGCTCCGAGCCCCCCGCCTACCCCCCCGCTCAGTTGCCGTGGGTCCCCCACGGGGAAAAGTCCCCAGGAGCAAGGGAAGAGCAAAGAGATTTCACAAAAAGCCCCGTGCCCGCGGCCGGGTTGTCACCAACGCGACAGCCCCGGTGTAAGGAAATGGCAAAATACCGCGGGTTAGCAAACGCTGTCACTCACAGGGCTGCAGGCGAGGAGCTTGGAAAAAACGAAGACCTAACGCAATCAGCAACGGCAGGGGTTGTCTGCACTTAGAAGCAGCAAAGGATGTGAAGATAAATATAGTTTCATAACTACTTACCTTTCCAGTGCAGCTTTCATGCGTGGCGTTGTGCTCGCCATCAAAACGCAACCAGATCGGAGACTGAACCTAATTCTGGTTTCATAGCATCCAGCAGCACTGAAAACCCAGGACTGAAACTAGGAAAAACTCAGAACATTTAAAGCAAAACGAACCTTCATGCAGCAAATAAAGTCAAAGAAATGGCTTCTTAAAATACAAAACTAAGTTGGAAATTAAATCCTGCAGCAGGGAAAGCTTTCTGGGGATCCAAAGTTAAAGCAGAGCAAAACCACAAGGGAAAAACGGATCAAAATGATCCCTATGGACATGGTGTAAATGGTGACACTCTCACTAACAATGCTTTGGATCAGAGTGATAGGAAGGGGAACTCCTAATTTGTATGGAATGAAGCTATTGTTTATTTTGGAAGTTGAACATCCTTGGAGCAGGAAGGTGAAGGATGACTTGGATGCTGAAGGAAAGCCCTGACTGTGGTGTATTTAATTCCATGGGGATTTCGAGCAAGGTTCCCTTTGTTCCTTTTAGACAAAAGGATCTGCACTCAGGGAACATTCCTGCCCCTTGCCCTCCCACCTAACACCTTCACCCTTCCATCCTCCAAGCACTTTGCCTGCACAAAGAAAGGTGGGAGTCTCACAACAGCACTAACAGATGGGCACATAACTCCTGAGATTCAAACAGAGTTTTGAGGAGGGCTCGGGCTGCTGGTACACAGCCCCCATGTGAGGCTGCTCCATCATCCTCAGCACTGCCTCAATCCTCAACTTGCCTCCACTGGTTTGGTTTATTTATTCTTTCAGGATGAGTGTAGCTTCCCTTGTGCAGAGCCTGTTATAATCATGTAAACGATGGTAAACTAGCATGGAAAAGCATTTTTTCCCCCAAAGCAATGGATTTACATCAGGGTTTTTACACACATTGTTTTCCTAGCTCTAAAACATGTGCCAACAGAAGCCTTCGGCGGCTTTATAGCACTTGGGTGAAGCGGGAATTAACTTTGGTGGATACACACAAACAGTGGATGCGTTTTATAAGAAACGGATCTGCTTTTGTGATCATGAGCGTAGGGTTTACAGCCTGAGCAAAGGGACAGAGCGGTTTATCAAGTCAGACATAGAGGATCCAGTATTTCATTCTGATGACTGGGTTGTTCTGGGTAAGTCTCTCTGTGAGACAGGTAGTGAGGCACTGTGGGTGTTATGGATTCTGCATTACACAGAGATTCATGGCTCTCCAAAGCAGCAAAGGCTTTGCCAAGGTCCAGTGGTTTATTCTGGCGCTAACCGATGCAACTGAACTTCTTCTGAATACAACTTGGCTGCAAGTGGAGCCAAGGACAAGCGTGCTCAGCTCTGTTGTACCAAACGTGGTTAAATCCTGCTGGCAGCAGGAGGAGGATGAGCCCATTCCCATCTGGAGATACTGACACTGCCCTCCAGCTGCATTCTTCGAGCCTTGTTTTAAAATACATGGCATTGTGCACCCTGCCATTAAATACCAACCGAATGTGCTGGCCTTGTAAAGTAATCATCTGATCAGGCGTTGTGAAACTGCAGTTCCTGAGGCTCTGAGGATGGGGAGTCCGTAGGTGATAATGTCCGTATTTATGTACCGGAGTCTGTAAAGGAGCAAGGAAGTCACACGAGTGGGAAGGTAAATATAGCCCAAAGCTTGTGGGATCCATTCAAGAACAGAGAGCAATAGTAACATGGCAACAGGTCACTGGCGCGCCGCTGGATGTGAAGATGTGAGACACAAATGAATCACCATTACTATTATTTTCCTGGATTCTATTTTACTCTGGGGATTTGCCTCTCAGCGCTCATGTAGGAAACGGCACCAGCCCCAACCTGCTTCTTTCAAGTGTAAGAACTAATCTGGCTCTTTTGTTCCGAGGGAAGCTGATTTAAACAGATCCCACGTTATGAATGGCGATGCAGTGGGAGGCAGGATCAGCACCCTGGTGCGGCGGCTCCGGGGCTTGGCAGGAGCCCACCGACCTCGTACGTGCTGTTCCTTCTGTCGCTGCTGTCCCCAGGGAGCAGAGCTGCCGCTTCGGAGGCCCTGCGCTTCCTGCAGCCCTCTGTGATCTCTTTTGTACGAGGCCTCTGCGCAGCCTCGGGCTTCACTGAGGACTTCCCTCGCAACCTCTGGCTTGACACCTCCAGTTCCCTTGGCCCAGCCACAAAGGGCAGGTGAGAGCCCCACCAGCACACGTATCTCCATGCACACCCAATGCACACCCAGGCAGCCCACAGGGGCAGGTCCCTAAGCACAAGGTAAAGCCCCAGTCAGTGACAGCCGAGATGCTCTTGCTTGTCCTGCAGCCAGATTTGCCGTCTCAGACACTCCTGAGACAACACAGAGTTAAGGAGTAACAAGGGCTGAAGTGGGAGTGTGTCTGCTTCAAAGGGACACAGACACCTTCTGGATATCAAAAACAGGGAAGGGAAAGGAAGGTGGATGCCAGACAGAAAGTTCATCCACCACACTGACTCTGGCAACCCTTCATCCACCCATGAGAGCTGCGGGAGTGAGTAGAACTGGCTCTTGGGTGGTAGGGGACATCAGCCCAGCACCTGGAGGCTTCTACAAGCAAAGCAGCTGCTAGCCACCCATTCCATGAAGAGGCTGCTCCATCCCAAAACCTTCCCGTAGAGAGGAGAGACCGAGAAATCAGGAGAGACCGAGGCAGTCCCCGCAGCTTTCTGCACAAGCCCTGGTTTGGAGTTCACGCTGTGGCACAGTCCTGAGCCATGGCATGTGCCTTTCTGTGTCCACAGAGGTTCTCTCTTCCTGCAGACCTTGGCAGTACACCTTAGCACAAGCCTCCACACATGTCTCTCCAGGAGACGCATTTCAAACCTCTTTTCAGTGCCTATCTCCTCTGCAAGGGCTGTCTGCTCATGGAATGACTGGTGCCAGTGCTGATGGTAGGGATTTGCAAGGTGGACATGAGGAGCTGCTTGAAGAACCAGCTCATGTCTCTAAAACAGCCATACCCAACTGCGAGGGCAGCAACGCTCAGCTACAACTTGCTCAATAGGAGCCATGAGCCTCGCAGGGCAGCGTGAACCAAATCCCCATTAGCACTCAAGTCTTCACTAGCACTTCTGCGTTGTTTTGCAGGACAAGACATAGCTTGCCCTGAACCTGACTCTAAGAAAGGATTCCCAAGACACGATATAACCTCTAAACCATAGAGCAGGTACAAAAGCCCTCTTCAAAGTGGTACTGCCAAGGACGGGCTGAGCTGCACACTGTCTACGCAAGCGAGGTGAAGGGAACGTGGTTTTGAGGCTAAGGTGGTGTGCAGGCGGGTGAAGCAAGCCCTCGGCTCTGCCTGGGTATTTATTGCTGCATTGCTGTGCTGAGCATCAGCCAGGCAAAGATTCCAGGTGAGCTCTGAAGTAAACAGTGGTGGAGGTGAACGGCCAAAGGTGAGGTTTGCTGCTGTATCGCTGTAGCTGTTTATCTGGAAGAGACTGGGAAAGCGGAGAGTGAAATTCCAGAGGAAACTTATTTCCAGACTGGAGCTTCCATTCCATCCTTGGGAAACAGAGCAGGAAAGTTCAGGTAAACCATAAACAGCAGATCAACGATCCTGGGTTTTCCTGGCTCTCCAGTGTCACTGCCAGATAATGAATGTCTGTTACCCTGGAATTTAAACCTGGTGCTTAAATTACCTGCAAGAGCGCAACTTGTAACCACGCAGGTGCGTGAATTCTTTGTGCACCGCGGGTTACACCTTTCATTAAAACCCACAAAGTCACCACAAGACTCAACAAAACGAGCTCTGAAGAGCGGTGTAATTCAAAAGGAAGGGTTTTGGCTGGGCGGAGGCCGGGAATGAGGATACCAGTTTGCAGACAGTTTTAAGTGATCTCAGGGTTTGATTTTATTTACCAACCACCTTCTATGATGAACAGCCAAGTACCTCTTCCAGCACTCATTTCAAATGAAACCTGCAGCTCAAGCCAGGGATGAGTGATGCCCTGAGCCCTGGTTGTGAGGCCTCACCCGCACAGGGTGAGCCTGTACTCCAGCACATACTGGGTACCCCAGCACGTACTGGGGCCGGTTGTCCCGTTTGTGCTGGTGCACACGGTACAGCCCATTTGGAGAGAAATCGATAGGAATCATCGTTATGTTTCCAGGCCAATGTCAGTAGTGGAAAGCCCAGGGTGAAGCCTGACAGGCGGTGATGTGCCTGCATTTCAAACATCAAACACCCCGGGATTGCTTCATTCACAGCTGGAGCTGCTTCTCAGGCGCCTTCACAGCTCCATGCCCCTAAGAAAACAAACTCGCTAAGTGCCTGCTCCGCAACCTGACCGGAGCTTCGCTCCCAACCAACACGTTACAGCAGCACTAAGAAGCGATTCCGCTGCTTGCCAAACCCTGACAGGGCAGGGACATGTTCCCTTCTCCCAAGGCTTTAAAGCCATTCTGCTTTATGCAGAAATGTGACATTTGGAGCTGCGAATGAATGCAATGAGAAGAGTTGACCTGGTGCAACGCAACTGCTCTGAGTGCGGGACTCTGCTCAAACCATAGATTTAAGTAAAATCCTTCAGCCTCTTTGTGCAAGATAGAACCAAGATTTGTAAAATATCTTATCCACGCAGGTCACTCAGGGGTTAGAGGGCAGCGTGGCTGTGGCAAAGGGAATACCGCAGGGTACACTGCAGAATTCCAATCAGCCAGTGCAGAGGAGGGATGAGCCTTCCTGTCCCATCCGGCTCCACACTCAGCTGCAAGCAACAGCTCAGTTTGCATTCCAAACCTGTTTGAACCCCAGGATCATTATTACACAGCCTCTGTTCTATTGCTCTGTTGCAAAGATTTGCCTGTTTTGTTTCCAGAACTATTGGCAAAAGTGCTGTGTAAACCTAGGGGTAAATACTGTTGAAACCCAGAAACTTGGTCAGTGTGGTTTCCATCCTTGCAAGACCAGAAGTCCTCCTAGTCACTATGAACGCAATGTCTGAATCACAGCTGAAGGGGAAGAACCTGGCCCACACTATCCCCTGGTATATTATGTATTATTAATATTATTAGCCCCTTTGCAAGCTTCAGACTGAACTCTCCCTTCCCTGAATGGCTCTCCAGGGCCTTGACAGTACAATTGCTCTCAAGGGCAGAGCTGTGCATGTATTATCGTTATTGCTGTGCTATTCAGACAGGTTGGGATGTCTGAACTGAATACTGTAGCTCCATTACAAATACGCAAGAGGCCACGCTCACCGCCTTCCCTGTGACTGCCCTGGTTGTGCTTTTCATTTTGGCAAGGAGAATAACAGACAGTTTATAGCCGAAAAAGCCAAGCAGAGCCACGGTTGTCGCCTTGCTTCCCAGGAGCTTGATCCTGTTGGGAGAATGTTGGGTACGTTGCTGCTGAATCACTAACCTGAGGTTTGCTTCCTTGACTGGAGTGTGGGAGCAGTGAGAGAGAAAGGATGAGCTGCTTAAGGCAAGAAGTACAGCACATGAAGGTGGAAGAGGGGTTTCAACCACTGCATACTCTTTCTTTCTTGAAGCCAAGAGGAGTGGTAAAACGGGGCTTTGCACAGAGGGGGTGCAAATGCCTGGGTGCAGCAGGTAAGAAAAATCACTTGCTCCCGTGTTAATTCTCTTAATCTTGTTACTTTCTCTTTAACCAGCTTAAACTCATGATGTCCCTGCCTGTGGCAGGGGGTTGGAACTTGATGATCTTAAGGTCCTTTCCAACCCTAGCTATTCTATGATTCTATGTGTGTTTGGGTAAGGATAAAGCCTCGGTCATTGCTATGTACTTAAGAAGGGACAGCAGTTCACATTCTAGATACGTGAATAATGTTTACCCACATTGGCCTTTTACAGCTTTCATTTTCTTCCTGCTATGCTCAATAAAAAACAACTGATTGCCCCTGTAATCTGACTGCCATCTTTTCTGGGTGACATTTACTTCGGGGTCCTGCTTCCCAGAGTTGCTGCCTATAGTTTTCCAGTATCAGATTCTGAAAAGCTATGCCTCTGAGACTTCATCCATCTGGTTCTGACCTTTACAGCCTATTGAGTCTCCATCTGGAAGACTTTTATTCTACTGGTATTGCTTATGGCTTATTATGACTAGCACACCTGCCTCAATTCCCATGGAAGATCTCTTTTTTGAGAATGCAAGGCTCCTAATGCTCATTCTGGGCTTTAAACTTTAGACTACACTATCTGCCTTGTCTTCAGCTTCAAAGATAGATCAGGTCATGGCACTTTGCTTTCATTTGTCTCTGCCATATGAATATGAACCTCAAAATGCTGAATCCACGCTTAGAGCTGGTGTGTTCACAGACAGGTCCTGGTTCATGCTGGGGTCAGAGGCACTGTGCTGATACAAACAAAACCCTCTCCATCTCAAATGGAAGAACAAATAAAACCCTCTCCATCTGGAGAAGAACATGCACCAGTCAGGAAGGGAATTAGTCTTTCCACCCCAGTCTACGTTCTTCATGCATTAGGAGACACTTGGCAATCACAGTGTACTAAGCAGCAAAGCAGTTCTGAACCTGGGCATCTCACCCCGTCTATGACCAGCACAAATAATCCTGGGTAAATACCAGCCTCCACTGAACCATGTGTGAACATATCCACATGTATTACACACTGACACCTCCACAGAGAACCCAGCTCTTCCCAAGGAATAAACCAAAGCATCTGGAGTGTGTTCTGAAAAGCATCGAGGCAGCAGAGCCTGTAAGCAGCTGACAGCTTACTTCAGTAACAGAAAGCCCAAGTCTGGTGGTGAGAGACAGCAGGTCCTCAGAATCAATTGTTCCTAAGCAGGTTCTATTCTCTGTAAGATAACGAGGGAATTCACAGACATTAATACAGCTGAAAATGGCCAACACAGCAAATTCTGATGAAGACAAGAGCTGTCTTACATCCTTTCCAAGCATCGATCCCGATTGCTGTGCTGTTACTTTTTGCTGGCTCCCCAGCATGTGCTCACCACTGCAGGGGCACTGGCACAGCTCAGGTAATCTGCTGAAGTCAGGCAGAGGAGCAGTGGATCCATTTGAACACAAATATTCTTTATGAGCAGTTGTATGGCTGACACTTTAAGGCTCGGTTTGTGATAGCAGAGCTTTGTGTTGGAGGAAGGATTACGGGGACAGGGTTTTAAAGAGACAGAGCTATCTTGTTTGATCATTTGTTTAAAAGCAAAGCAAACACAAACTAAAGCAGCTGCATTGACAGGTATCTTGCTACCCACTGGTATCTCCATGCTGTACAAAGAACAGAATAACTCTGACAGCATTGTCAGATTCAGATCTCTTTATAGACAGGGAATGGGACCGAGACTCAACACGCTTGATCTTTGGTCATAGATCTGTAAGGTAGAAAGGGTTTTTGCCTTTCCCCATCCCAGGACTCAAGAATCTATCCCCATCAGAAAACTTGGGTGCTACCAGACTTGAAGAATGCCCTACACGCATCCTGCACAGCTTGATTGATGGAAAAATAACCCTAACCCGCACCCTTATTGCAGCTACTGCAACATGCTGACAGGAATTACCAGCTTTACACCTGAGCCAAGACCTGGCTGGGTCACAGGGAGATGGAAATGAGGCAGCTGGTGACACACAGCTTTGAATGCCACCCTGTCACCAGCTCACGTTACATGATAATTTCTACTTGTGTTACAAATGCAGGGGGAATGCAGATAAATCACAGCTTCCCTGAGCAAGGCAAAACATCCAGGATTTCACCCCATTACAACTAAGCAACAGTACAAAATCAATCTGCTCTGATTAATTAGCTCTATTATAACATTGTGTATTAACTCTAGTTTGTGGCTGGAGGCTGTATAAACTCCTAGCAAGTACAGCTCTTGCTGCAGAGGTTTTCTAGCCAAAAAAGGACAGACCAAAGGACAGAGAAAATAAATGCACAAAGAATTGGGAATTTAGACAGGCGGACATAAACTGCCTTATTCCAAGAACATAAAACTGATGAACTTGAGTGTTCATAGTCCTGCTCTTCAAACACAACAGGAGCCTGCATTGCCAGTGATGGTGGGATTTCCAGACAGCAAGACAGGGCTGCTTCTGAGAATTCCTTTGCAGAAGACAACTGAGGTGCAAATACTGAGTCCAGCCTAAGTGAGGGACAGCAAACCTGCAAAATACAGTGCAGCGGCAGCTGGATGGAAGGAGGAAGCCTAGTTTGCTGTTTCATGTGGTCACACTCTGGCCAGGAGATAAAGCTACCCGGATCAGACAAGCCATTGAAACAACACTGCTCTGCCTGAGACACCGCCACAAGAAAGGATGAGCCCAGCATTAACAATCCAGCACTGAAACATGATGCTTATGTGGGGAGAGGCAAAGTAGTTCGGATTATGCAAATAAAACCCTTAATTTTATACTTACTCCAACCACGAGTCCTTACTTCCACTTTTTGGCCACGTCTTTCTTAAGCCTCTAGTCACTTAAGAGCTCCCAATGCAGACACATTGCTCTCTTCCATGTTCTTTCCTTACCTTTGCACTAGGATGATTGCCTACTGTCTCTTCAATACTCTGTTTCAGAAACTGGCAGATCTCTCACACTCCTTTATCCCCAAGACAATCTCAAGACAATTTCAGAGGAAGGCATCCAAATGCATCTAAATTACTTTAAAAACATGGAATTTGATGTATTTATGAAAAGACAATTCTGACCAAATTTTCTTTGCTATCAGTGGAGGAGAATCAATGGATCTTGGGCATCTTTTAGTCTCTCCTGGGAGTCCTGCTGCCTAGTAGACTGCAGGGGTACCTGGTTGGTTTGTGTGCAGAGATTTGAGACATTACAACAAATATCAGAAACAGAAAAAGATTTATTAGAAATATTACACAGATTTTTGCATCGTACATTTTAATAATGTTAATCTTTAAATATCAGCATGCCCAAATCTGGCAATGCCTAGTATATACATTCTAATGTGCTCTTTGTATAAATTAGATTATGATGTAACATCTGTACCCAACAGAGAAAGCTAGAAGACTTGTTAGAGGTGATTATCCCAGATGACAAACTCAAGTCTGGACCCACAATCAATAAAAAAACATTGTGTCCAGCACTGCCCAGTGGAACTTGGCACATGTGCAAGTCAGAAATGTAGAGACCATCAGCTGAGAAACCTGGTAACTGCAGGCAGTTATAAGCTTGATTCTGCACCATATCGGTGAGCTAGTCTAAATGGCACTGGAGTCGGTAAAAACCAATACAGTCTAGCATAGTACAAGTTATTGCTGGGTTTAAAAATGCTTTAATGCTCAGTGCCCTGAGTCTTTTTAGGAAAAGCCCTCTTCTGACAGGAAAATGTACAATCTCATCCCATACAGACCCTACCTTTTCTCAGCTACATGAAGCACAACTTTGCACACAGCTGCCCCGTCAGATGCTCCCTGCTGGAAGACCTGGTACCAAAGGCGCAGAAAGATGAGGGAGGTACAAACCAACCAGTGAGCCAATGCTCACACTTGATTGCCAAGGAAGAGAGAAAGTCAGTGATGCAAAAAGGCAGATCTGGAAGAGTTCCAGGTCAGGAATCAAACAGGGAAGACCAAATCACTCTGCCAGGGTGCACTTATTTGGTCTGGACGTAAAACTTGTGCTGGTTGCAGATACAAAACAAGATAATCAGAGTAAAACTGTAAAAGCAACTTCAGAACACAAAAAGAAAACCTGCCAAAGTTCAAAGAGAATGTGTCTCACCGAGAGGAAACAGGAGAACGTGCATAAATCAAAAACCACTCTGCCTAGCACAGTGCCTTGCTGCAGCACAGGAAGGACCAGGAATCTTTGTCTCCTTTGCATTTCCATGGCTGTCACAGGCACAGGAAGGAGAACCTGGCAAAGGCAGCAAGCTCTGTGCTCTCTTCCCTCTTCGTCTTCCTAGATCCACCCCAGGATGCACTCTTAGGAGAAATGTCACTCCAGGTGACAGTAAGGGCTCTCAAGCTGATGTCCTTTGCTGTCCACAAAAGCCCAGGTCCATGTCCCATGTATGCCCCTCTCCTCACACACTGGACTCCACTCCATCATTCAGTTCCCTTGTGTACTTTCAGAAACAGCTCATCAGCCTTTCTAGAAAACCTTCTCAGAGGGCTGGCTCTGAGCTCGCTTCTCAACACCTCTGTACCTTCCCAAGCCATGGAATGACTTGTACCTTCTATGACCCACCAGCTCTGGGAGCCACACTGTATACTTTCTGCACTTCACTCTCCTTTCCTCTCTAGCAGCTATGGTACAACAGTCACACAATGCAATATCCCTCCATGGAACTTCACTGAAATCCCCATCCTAACCATTCTTCTCACGTGCTTGTCCAAAATCAGCTATTTGGTTTCTTGTAGTCCAACAGACTACCCAAGAACTCTCAAGCATGTGCAGGTATGTTGAAGAGTGACTGTACATTTAGGGAGCATACGGTGACACAGTGAAAAGATTTCATCTGCCTGCATCAAGGAAAGATCCATTACTCCAAACAGGCAGAGTCCAAAAGGACTTAGGCAAATTGTTACTGATACAACACATTGCACCATCCATTTTAGGACATTTTCAGAGCATTCTCAGAACTCCTATGATGATTATCCCTATATCCTCTAGCTTAACTTACTCAACAAACTCTCTAATTATGAAGGCAGCTAGAACTTCAATTTTACAGTTCAAATTTGAGATGTCTCACAGGGCCTGTAGATTTTCAGGTCTGCAGCATCTTGGGTGGAACAAATTTTAATTCATATTCAAATTTTAGGGCAGCATGAAGCAAAACAATGATTTCTGAAAATCCATATCTAGAAATGTAACTATGCAAGGTTCAAAAGGAAGAAGAAAAACACACAATACTGTTAACAGTTAAACGAACAAATAGACAACATTCTCAATCTCAAAGAATAACCTTGAAGACCATCTCTCAGTCTCAAAGTATCACCTTTTCCAAATGAGGAGTTTTGCAGGTTTGAGGACTGGAAAGTAACACTCAGCAAACAGTGAAACTGGTTATCATTTCCTACTGACAGATGGCTCCTTGTTCTAACTCCTAAATAAGTAAATAACAGAAATGTTAAGAATATACCATTAGAATTGGGTAGAATTAGTGTTTGGTCTGTGCTGATGGGGACACAACAATAAGCTGCAAAGAGATGACAGGAACATTACTTTGCAAAAATCGTTTGGGGAAAAGCCCAAAAAGTTGCTCAATCAAAAATGGTTAGAGTCTTGGAGAACCAGATTAGAATAAATGTCAGAACAGTGCTGGAAGCAAGTGATGCTGACACATCAGACAGCACATGCATTGAGCATACATCTGACCGTCACACGGAGCACACGCCCCCTGTGAGTAGAGGGTTAAGATTATCTTTCCTTTTTGGATCCAGTGGAACCCTCTGACTTTGAAATGTTTACCAGGCACTGGGAATTAAAACAGTTTTCTCATCCCTGCAAGTGCCCAATCCAAAGCCCACTGAGGAATATGGAATTTTCTGTGTTGACTTCACTATGCTTTGAACCACAGCCTGTTGGACAGAATTGGGATCTCTGCCAATGGATACCTCAAGGGACAAGAGCTGCTGCAGCCACAAGGCAGCGGAGTTCTGCAGTGTAACTGTCTTCCGAAATGAACTCTGCTTAGCAGCTATTTTTCTCTTCCATCTTATCACATAACAGGAGACTTGTATCTGGGAACACTTAGAGCAACTCATCCTATGTTCTCTAGGGATGGCTGAGTGTACGCTTAAAAATACTGGAGAGCTAATTCAATCTAGAAAGCATTCTCTTGCAAAGAAATAATTCTGGCCAGCATTTACAACTGCTTTCTCACAGTATAGGATGACACAAAGAGTGCAAGGGCACCGTAAGTGCTTGCCACTGTCCTTTTTTATCACACAGACTCTCAAAAGATTGGAATCAGACTTTCCTGGGGGTAATGAATTAGAATAAATGTCAGACTAAAACTAAGAGCAAGTGATGCTTTTCCCCTCGCATTCCTCCAGCTTCATTTCTGTTCAGTACTATCACCTATCCCTTAATCCTGTATTTTGCTGTGAGAAAGCCAAAGTGTGAAATAGCTTGTTTACTAATTAAATAGTACTAAGAAAAACAAACAACAGAGCACTGTGGGGAAGCCAGAGGCTGAGATCAGCTGCCTGTAAAGAAAGCCCCAGAAAACCTGAAACCAAGTTTTTTCTGTGAAATCATTTGTTTCTATTTCATGAGCCTTTTTTTCAGGAGTTAAGAGCAGTGAGCATGCACTATTACTTCTTTTGCAAGAGAGGAATTATCCCTAGCTCTCTATAATTACCATCCACAAAGCATCAAGTCTGGTCACAGGGTTAAACATGCTAACTAAACAACTTTCTTCTACCAGCATTATCTAAACCAGTGAGACCGGCTCCTATGAGGTCCTGTGCAAAGCCCACTCTCCAAGACCTGCTCTGAGAACAAATCAAGCAGCCTCTTTGATCCTGCTACCCTTGGAGTCCAACAGAAAATTTAACTTCACGAGATGAAATAAGAGAAATGGTAAAATGGAAATTAAACAGTATCTTTCAGACATTTTCTAACAGTATCGTTGAGCTGGAAAGCTATTCTCTGGCGCCTTAAAGATTTCCATGACACACAGAGGGGTTCCAGTTACAATCTTTGTAACTTGTGAAGTTGCAACTTCCATCAGTACTAATGTATTGCTGTGTTCCTTTACAGGGTAACGTCACTTCCAAGTATTTAACAGTGCCCTGTGGACCATATTTTAATGGACAGAGCACAGGATGCCTCAGGAGTCATGCCTCTACACAGCAATTACACATCTGTGCTGATTATACAGGATCAACACAGAAGAAAGAAGTTACTCCACTCAATCCACACAGATATATACTACTGAGATGTTACTGTATTGCTTAGTCATCACCTGATTACTGGCACCTTGCAGACTAAAGCTAGCAAATTGCATTTGCAATATTCCTAGGATAACTGTGCCTGCACAGTCAGCTGGGAAAACAAGCTCTGGCTTCCCATAGTAATCAAGTAACAAAGTTGTAGCAATAAACCTATTTTTCCCTCAGAAATTACTTCTGTTTGATCTGAAATGAAGTCTCGGCACCTCACAGGATTCTTTTAGAGTTCTTTAACTGGTGATGGATGAGAACACAGTTTCTGAGTTACAAATAACCCTGTTATTAGCCTGCTGGCTAAGCTATGACAAGCACACTAGTATACTTACTGAATCAGGTGTGTGAGAATAACTGAGGTTAAGGTTCTACACACTTATGTGCATCTGTCATGGTGTTTTATAAAATACATGGATGCAAGAAAACAACATATATTTGGGATGAGTTAAGCACGTTTTGGCAAGAAGAGCATTTTTGTGAGCTTTCATATTAACATGAATCTCCCAGCCTCCCTTGAGTACCAGTATAGTCCACATTGATTCAGATCTTCATTTTGTAGCAGGTCTCCTGTTGGTGGAGTCTAGTTTGAGGCAAACATTGTTTAGCACAAGGGATCCTCTTCAGAAAATCCCACGTGTTTGAAAACACTCTGCAACTTCCACATGGGAATAAACTTACAGATTAATTTGGTTTGCGTAGATAAGACAATGGATATTTATTTGGTTGTAGTCCCAGATGTCATCAGAATTATGGAAGAGCTTTCTTTCAAACTAAGAGCTTAGGTTGGTTGTGGAAGAGGAGCAAGTGGACTTTTAAAGTGATCGAGTGCATCTGTAGCATTCTTTGTTCTCTTCCCCATTTCTGTCCACCTCTTGCTCTGTGTCTCAGGTCTCGAAGTACTTGTAAATCTGGGCAACATACTGCATCACACTCTGCCAGTCTGGGCGGTCTGTGTACATCATCTCACTAAGTTCCTGCACAGGACAGACACATTGTCAGAACTTACTCAAGCACCATCACAAGGTCCTTTGAGTAGCTGAGACTGTTGTTGACTACTACTACCACCACCATTCCAGAGCTACCTGCAGCCACACACAGTATAAAAGTCCATGGGAATGACTACTGGCCTAGAGCATTTCTGAAGCTCATTAAAAAAGTATTTAAACAGCCATATACATTTTACATTCTGAAAAGATTTTTTTCCATCTGCAATCAAAGATCAATTCTTTATTTAAATCGCTGCTTCTTTAAATGTGTTTGGTTCTCTATTTACCTTACAGATCCCAAAATATTTTTGCTTTCATATTAAACTGATCTCTTCCTTTTCATCATATTGTTGATTTTGGAAGAGGCTTTTTAAACAGCTTAACACACTAATTATCCTTCTGTCTCTTAAAACACTAAACCAAAAGGAAATTGTCTTAACAGGCTAGTCTGCTCATGAAAATAGGAATCTTCTGGAACTGGCTTCCAAGAGGAAGACTTATTTCAATACTAGATGATCTCCAGAAGTTCCTTCAAATTATATTAATTCTATTAGTCTTCTTGCTATGGACTTTCAGAGATGGTGCCGCTACCTTCCCTATCACTATGAACATTTTCAGTGCAAGCTGGCTGGCCACATGGCAACAAAGGCTCTTTAACAGTGTATGGAGTATATCTTCCCTTGCTAAAAGAAGGTTACTCACCAGGCTGGGTTTGATGCCTACACTTTCAGCAGCTTGAAATGCTAACAGCAGGTTTCTCTTCTGTAAAACAAAAGTTCAAAGGGTTACCATCAAAGTGTGATTCCTGAACTCTACCTTTATCTGGTTAATCAGTAAGTTTAAATAAGCAGGTGTATTTGAAAATCACTAGATTCAGTACTTTCACATAGATACTTTTTTGTATTAGTCAGGTATACTCACAAAAAAGTTCTTTGTCTTTGAATAGCTCATCTACTTTTGCCCAAGCTACAGCCCTCTGTTTTGGACAAATTAGGTTCTTGTGAAACTGATTACAACTGGGCAGAAAAAGGCACTAAGGTTCTGTCTTTATTATGAGTGAAAGTTTTCTGAAGAGGTGCTAATTAATATACGACATCCCTGTATATAGTACAATTCTTATTGTAATACTAGTTGTCTGAAGTACATCCAGATTCTTCCTCTCTGTGAGGGTCTTAACATACATGGAATGTGCTGACATGGTCAGACTTTTAAATACATTGCTGTCCAAGGAGCAAAATGAATGATCTGCCTGCCTGCCTACTGATCCAGCACTTTTAAAGTGTGCTGTTAACTCAGGAGTCCAGAAATGCCTTAGCCTTTCCAAAGGGATGCTGTCTTCAGGTTTATCTGCAGCACTCACTGAATTCCAGTGACATGTCACTAACTCTTTAACTAGCAGTCCCTGCATTTCTCTTTGAGAGTTCACTGTTGGTTTCCTTTCCCTTTTCATTCAGTCAGTTTGCTCTGTAGGTTCTCAAATGACACTTGGCTCCTACTGTTGCTCTCATCTATTTATTTGGCATCAATCAAGATCTTGCAGCACTGTGTCTCCACTACATATCCAGCAAAATGGATATTTACCATGAATTCTACAAACTGTGTAGGAGCAGGTACAACAAAACTTACTTTATCCTGGCTGTTGAGCTCCTGGTAAGGAATATGTGCAGGCAAGTACGTGTGCAGGAGAGCACAGAAGGCCAGCCCGTCACTCCAGCTGCTGCTGAAGTTGGTAATATCAATGTTCTGTAAGAGAAAACATGAACCGTTCTGAGCAGTGCTATGCAGCAACAACAAAATCTCCCAACAATACTTTTATGCACTCATTAACCAAAACCTCAGAGTATTAAAGGAACATAGGTTTACATTTTCCATTCTCCCCTTCTTTTTTAAGTAAAGTAGAAAGATACCATATAGGATGGCAAGTTTCAAAGTCTTGGACAAGGGATTATTAAGGAGTTAAATGTTTTTCACAGTGGATGGATCTGTAGAATAATGAGGCAGTGAATCAGTGCATTTTGACCACCATTGTCTTTCTGATACTACACATCAACACACTTTAATGAGAACATGTAATTAACAATTATGACTTGATTTATCCCCTTATCAAAAGTTGTATCAAACTGATGAAATACTAACATAGTCCTCAAGCCCTAAATAAAGAACATCCTTATGTGCACATGAGAGGGAGGCTTAAATGTAGCAACAGCAACAGCTGAATGAGCAGCTTTCTGAGAGCTGGGCATTGGAAAAGATGCATTCCAAGAGATGTGCCCAGCTGGCAGTCTGCATTCCCATATTCTTTATCAATTCAGCACCTTTCATCTGCATATCACAGAGCACTTAACAAAATGCAGATAAAGAAGGGGAAGTGTGAGAGATACAATTTAATCATCTATCCTAATTCACAAAATGATCTGTAAGTACTTAGGAGAGAAGAGGACTTTCCTGATGCTCAATCTCTTACTACCATAGTCACTGACAAATAAATGTGGCTGTGTCACTGGTAACAAGTACAATAACAAGATCCTTATGGAACAGAAACAGACAAAAACCTTGTATCTTGTTTTCACGCATTTCCATCAAGGCTGAGTTTGCTTGAGGAAGCAATGTTTCAGGGAGCATGGATATGTTAATAAACACCCGGTTGAAATCCCAGAGCTGAGCTAGAAAAATCTCCAACTCGCCTGTAGCAACATTCCCAGCTCCAACAGGAGGGCAGTGAATAAGAAATGCTTTGAAAGAAATAGTCTAACATGGTTATGAGTTTAAATGGTGAAAACGCACCTTCCTTCCCCTTGTTGCTAGATGGTAGGATTCTTCTTTGTCACATAACTTATTATAGGATGCACTCAGGTGCACAGAAGAAACCCAGTTCCCCTACTCATGACAACGTAAGTCTAGAACTTGCCGTGTTCAACAGGCAGATTAGAGCGATCACAGAAACTGGTACTTTAAACTCAGCCCATCTGTGAAGAACTCTTTTCAAATACAAACATCACTAGAGGCTCTTCAGGGATTCTGTTGTGAGGCACAGTTGTAGTTAAACACACGTTTGTGGCCCAGTTCTGATCCTGTGAACAAGGTGACCTTTCTGCTGCTCTTGTTTGCACTGACTGGCCATACCAGCACACTAAGAAATTCTCATGGCTAAGTTTTGCTTCTGTTGTAGCAGCTGTAACTCCAAAGGCCAGCTAAAAACAAATCAGTGAACTAAGTGATATTCCTTTGAAAAGTAAGAGCTGCTGGAGCACCAAAGGCTCCAGGATGTGATGGTACTGCACCACCTCATGCTATGGCAGGTTTGGAGCTACCCTTCCTGCATGTTCAACTCAGACTCTTTGCCACTTTATTTTCTTTCTTTAGCTACTTTCCAGTTTCTTTCAAGATTCCCCAAAAGACAAAGCTTTTACTGCATCTCTCATGTAACAGCTAATGCAGACGCATTCAAACCCAGACAGGAAGTATTTTAGCATATACTTGTCACGGTGCTTCACTGATTAGTTGTCCAGCCTGGACTTTGCCCAGTCAGACAGGATTTTAGATTAGTAATAAATGTCCATAACCAAACATGACTCATATTGAAGCAGTACAGAACAGTTCAGTTTAAAATACTTTGGCTGTAATAAATCTACAAGTGTAATGGGCTCAGAAAGCAGGCCATCAGCAGCAGACATTACCGCACTGCACCAGCCACCACAATGTGTTTTGTCCTATTAACATCTGTCAGTGGAGATAAAAGGAAAGCAACACAGTGGCTGAATACCATCACAAGAAGAAACCACTTTTCTCTGAAAGCTGTCTTGGCTTTGCCTCTTCCATAAAGTCGCATCATGGAAGTCCAACTTTGTGTTATGGAATTGGATAAAGATGGATTACTCTTTCTTGATGTTTCAGATAAACAAGTTACTATTTATCAATCTGCAGTTAGTGGGAAAGGACCAACTGCCAAATTACAGAAGTGTTTTTACTGAGGCCAACGTATTTTAATCAGCAAATAACTGACCATCAAATGCCAATATTCTCATTTATATCGTATGGTAGAAATGGAAAGTGGAGGCTGTGTGTGTCCCCCCGCCAAAGGCCAAGGAAACAGGAATAAACAAAGCCTTAGTTAAGCAACAGGACTAGACAAAAAGGCAGTCATGTTTGTGTGGGAACATAATATCCAACTCTCATTTTCATGATGTTATTATTATAGAGCAACGCAAGATACAAACCTGTTCTTTCCTACAGTATTTCACCAGCCCATCATCAGTTTGGTAACTTTACTAATTTTTGCAGTTTTAACTACATCTAAAACTCTCCTCTTCCTCCTATCTAACAATACCCAGAGATAAGAAGTGCTAAGGCCTATGATAAAATCAGAACTAGGTCCAAAAAATCCACACATCTCCAACAGCATCATCCAGCCAACAGAGAACATTAACTCAAATATGAATTTTTATCCTAAATGCAAACCCAAAATGAATGTTGCAAGGTTCAGCTCAACTGCTTAGTTAATAGTACAACAAACACTTAGACATACTCAAAAGCACCCAGTTGCCATTTTCACATCCAACAAGCGTCAGTGAATTGTGGCTTTTTCCTCTAACCAAATGCATTTCCATTTCATACATGGCATGAATCTGTCTCTGGCATTTCATCTCGGATCCTGTGTTAACTACTTTTCAGTTTGGGATATAAGGACATGATAAATGAAAAGTGATCTTCTGTGGTTTGCTGCAATGTAACTTCACTTGTAATACCTCCCCAGTACGCTGCACCAAGAGGAATTAAATCAAAATAGAGGCACTCTGATTTCTCAGATCTCTGGCTCTGTTGAGGCCAGGAAAAAAAAAAAAGGAAAACAAGGAAAACAATTTAGGGAATGAACACCTTGGAAACTATTCACTTGTCTTGATTATTTTGGCAGTGGAACCTGTCTCAGTTTTTCTGCCACACCTCTCTTCCTCAACACAGTCCATAAATATGTGGGAGCTATTTGTGTACATGCTGGTTGTTAACGTACAATTCCAAGCTGCAGGATGGAGAGTTTGGTGATTTCTGTCTCCCAGTGTGCTTACAGCAGAACCCCCATGCTGAGCTCTGAAAAACTGCACGCAGTTTCATATGGGGAGACCTAGAAGTTAACCTATATAGGATGGCACCCTTCAGGAGGAAGATGCACCATCAGTGTGTATGCAGAATCAATGTAGGGAGAAATATGAAAATGGAATAGGGACTGCAGATCAAACTGAGCTGCTGTGCTTGTTAGGCAGGGTGAAAAACTTGCCATCTTATGGTCACAGTGTGCCTCATGGTCACTAATGCCCCGAGGTCTATCTTTAGCACATCAGTGGATCCATAATGCTAAAGGCATCTGAAACAGAGATTAACCCCTGGCCCACAGGTTAAGGGGTGCCAAGTAGCTCAGGCCTGCAGTGCTCTGGGTTACTAACTTCCTTTGGAGCTGACATATCATATCAATGTCCCGCAGCACTTGACCTGGATCTCTTCCATGGTGCTGCTAAGAAATTAATTGCGAAGGTGGGGTGATGTAGTTGAAAAATCTTGACCGAAAGTGAGTCAGGCCAGAAGAGGGATGTTTTTGTGACATGAGCACATAACCATCCTTACATACCCTGTGTGGAGTGGCTAAAAGGACCATGGAAAGATGTGAGGGTACAAAGTTTGCTGGGATAATGGTGCTGTGTAGACAACCGGTGTCAAGGCTAAGCTATTTCCAGTGTAGTTCCCAGGCTTCTTGTGAGTGAAAACAGCTCATTCACTTAAAATGAAAGCTCATGAGTGAACTACTGTACATGCACTGGGAATATTAAGAGGCTGGGATCCAGAAGCACACCAGGGAGTGTGGTTATCTGAAAGTACTTAAGTACCCAGTGAGGCTCGCTTCTATGAATATTGAAGTCCCTGACATTAAGCAAAGAAAAAAAAGAAACCAGGATTGGTATTTAGAGAACAAATGTATTATCTATGATATTAGTGGCATGCCAAGCCTAAAAGACACTATAGACACCTGCAAGCCATTAACCTCAGCCCACCACAGGAACAGGACCTTTGCTCATAGATAACAGCTCACTATGAGAGCCACAGTAAAGACACACAGGGACATGTGCGTGATCTGTTCTCACTAAAAACAATTTCTTGTTTTTCTGAGGAAAAAAGCACCACCCCATTAGATTTCACTAGATCTTTGGCTCCAAGTCTTCAGTAAAAAGCAACAATGACATCATATGCTCTTCATTACAGCCTGAGGATGTTAAAATACTGACACAAGATATTCCCACTATGCTGTTACTGAGCCCACAGCGATGGCCTTGAGTCATAATTTTGTCTGTAAGACAGAATTATAAATTATAGACATAAACCAGCTTGAAGGTAGCCTGGAACTCTGTGGAAGAAAGCCTGCAGTATATGACCTTAGCATCATTCTTACCATCCTTCCTCCTCAGCACACAACATACCCCGCTGCCTCTCAGAAGTCACTGGTATAGCACACCAGGAACATGCCAGTGGCTTATTACTGAGGTTCAACCCATACAGAACATAAACTTAAGTACTGAAGACAGAACTAGTTAAAATAAGCATACTGGATAAACCAAAGGAAATAGCTTTGTTTTTAATGGCAGCTCCCCTTTAACTGGCTCAGCTTTCTCCAATCCATCCTGCTTATCACTAACCAGAGACCCACATCTCCGCACAGCAAACGTCTCACAGCTCAGTATTTTTACATGGTTATATTT